AAGGCTAGGTGTAGATCTTTCCTACCAGAAGATCAGGGGTGTGGCTGAAAGACAGCAGTAAGAAGGAGCCAAGGAGTAGCAATTGAAAGGCTGCTGAAGGAGTCAGGAGCCCAGTGGAGGGGGCAAAGAGGATGAGGGGGTGGGGGCAGAAAGTGGAGACCAAAGCAGACAACAGAATATTGAAAGAGAGAACAGAAGGAAAGAAGGTGGAAGGAGACAATTTTAGAGAAGAAAATTTTTCCCGTCGCTACCCGGATTCGAACCCGGGACCTCTGAATGAGAGGCGAACACCTTAACCTCTAGGCCACGAGAGCCCCCCGTGTGTGTGTTTGTGTGGATTATGGAAAGGGGGGAAGGGTGAAAAAACACCATCTTGAGTGATGTACAACATTCATGATAATCTCTTCAGATGTACATAGGCCAATCTTTACTGTTCTTGTGACTTGCTTCTTTTTTCCTATCCAGACATCTATTGTCCTTCTCTACTCTTTTTGTTTGTACAGTATATACACTCTATTAACACTTATTACACTTAATTTTCAGCACTTATAAACTAAATTATCTGCAAAGTAAAGTGAAATTAGTCATAACTAACAAAATAATACCCTATTTTCATATTCATTGTGAACGGGACGCAAAAAGAAATGCCCTCTTCTCACCACATTACTTATAAATAGAATCACTGAGCTGTACATTTATGATGTCACTTCAAACATGGCTACCCTCTAAGAGAAATGGTCAAAGGAAGAGATGTATGGAGCCATACCATTTACGCAGCAAAATGAAAGGACCCCACCAGTGTCTGTGGTATATTGAATTTTTAAAAAAAAGTGTTTTACGGCGCCTGCAGCTGCTTATGATCTTATGAGCGCGTGGGACACTATTGAATTTTGCCCTGGGGGTGGCTGAAGCCAACTCTGATCGATTTTGGACCACCAAGGGATCTTTAACGTGTGCAACTCCGAGATTTTTGGCCCTTATCCGAGAAGGCTAGGTGTTAGATTTTGCCTGTCATAAGATCATGGGTATGGCTGAGAGACAGCAGTAAGAAGAAGCCACGGGCAGAGTAGAAAGTCTGTAGAAAGAGTCAGAAGCCCAGAGGAGGGTGCAAAGGAGGTGAAGGGGTGGGGGCGGAAAGTGGAGACGAAGGCAGACGACAGAACATAGAGACCAAGAAAGGAGGTGAAAGTAGAAAATTTTTAGAGAAGAAAGTTTTCCGTCGCTGTCCAGATTCGAACCCGAGACCTATTGAAAGTGAGGGGCGAACACCGTGTCCCTTTGACCACGAGAGCCTCAAGAAAAAAAAGATGTTTGTAAACCAAAAACTGGAGATATACATATTATGTATATTATGTTACCTCAGCACGTTGACATTTTATATTTTCTTGTTTACTAAGACTTTGTTTAAAAGCATTTTCTATATTTATACTGGCGTTTGTGGTGCAGTTGTGTTAGGCGCTTCACTGTCGCTCGCAAATGACCCAAGTTCAATTCTCATATGTGGGGAGAATTTTTAGAAAGCATCTCGGTCTTTCTGTTAGGAAGATAAGTCTAATTAATATTAATTCAATTTGGAACATGCACATCTGATTTTATATGATATAAGATATAAGAACATTTGTGTTTTTAGCCTCTGAAGTAAGTATTATTCTTTTTTTGCCAGACCTCTGTCGTCATATTGCGATGACTCCACAAAGCTGGTACATGTACGAAATAGATTTTTTTCTCGGAGGTAGGGGATTTGAGAGAGAGACAGAGACAGAGACAGAGAGAGATATATGGGGGGTGGGGAGGGGGAGAGAGAGAAAGAGAGAGAGAGGGGGGGGGGGTTAAATTTTTATGTTTGAATTTAATTTAAGACCACAGGTTGAAAACCAGAATCCAATGATGTAGCAGAAAGCATTCCGAAAAATAACTTGTATGCAAACGTTATCAATACCTCGCCTGTCTTATCAACTGTTAAGTCAGGATGAGAAACAGCAAAATTATTATCTTCGTTCTCTTAATCCATATCAGTACCACACACAATGATATCTAACACAATGACGTGGCGCAGTTGGGGAAGGACATTTGGCTACCCGAGAAACTTTTACAAAGTTCTATCTGCTCAGTATCTACTTTTGAGATTGACGTAAACAATGTTGAGTTTCATAATATGTCAAGTTTTTTTAAATGCACTTTCTTGAATATCTTGATAACGACTACGAACAATCTTACGATTCTGATAGAGCAGATAGAACATAATTTGGTTTCTGTACAAATGGTCTTAGAAACTCAAATGGCCGAAAATGTCAGATTGAGCTTTTTTAGTTTCGTTTTTTAAGTTTTAGTAGAGGTTTTAGTACGCAACTGCATAAGGTCATATGAGCGCCAAGGAATGGATGTCATCAGAGAAGTCCTTATAAATAGTATAGGGAATCAGGCTTACTTTGCTCACCTCTCTAGCTTCAACAGCACAGAGTCTGCTTCCACTATCCAAGGCACTTCGGAAATAGCGGGTCACAAGAGTGTGACAAACATACAAAAAAAGTAGAGGAAAATGACGATAGTAAGGATTAGGAAAGAAAAAGCAGCAGTTCCCTGATGCAGTTCAAGCACAGTTATGAGCATGACATTGATGAATCAGCCCATTTACAATGACAATTGTACTGTGGGAATAGCCAAAAGACACTTCAGTCAGTAGCACTGCCCCGGGGGTAGATAGAGCTTTGTAACTCTAAGGTAGAGAGGGAGACCCTGATTCGAGTCTGCGGGAGACCCTGATTCGAATCTGCTTCCGAGTCTTATGCAGTGAGTGGGGTTTTTTTTCGGACTCTCCACTCACCAAGATTCTCCAGCAGTAGAGAATCTTTGCTCAGACCGCTAGATGAGATGGATTCCAATCCTGTAGAGTTGGTTTCTTTTTCTTTCCTTTTTTTTTTTCTCATTTTTTGTGTAAATGTTTTGCGGCGCTCGCAACTGCATAAAGGTTATATGAGCGCGCGGGATTCATTAAAAATTTTCAGTTAATAGGAAATTTTGAATATTGCCCGGTGGCGGCCGAAGCCTACTCTTATAGATTTTGAACCACAAAGGGATCTTTAAAGTGCACAACTTGCGCACGTGGCCACCGAGATTCTTTGCCCTTATCCGAGAAGGCAAGGTGTTAGATCTTACCTGCCATAAGACCAGGGGTGTGGCTGACAGACAACAGTAAGAAGGAGCCAATGAGTAGCAGTAGAAAGGCTGCAGAAAGAGTCAGGAGCCCAGAGGAGGGGGCAAACATTGGAGATGAAAGCAGACGACAGAATATTGTTACAGAGCAGGAAAGGAAGCGAAAGGAGACAATTTTAGAGAAGAAAATTTTCCGTCGTTGTCCGGATTCGAACCCGGGACATATCGAATGAGAGGTGAACACCGTAACCTCTCGACCACGAGAACCCCTGTGTTGGTTTCATTGTCTTGAATGGGTTCCAAACTTCAATGTGGGTGGTTTATGGGTGCTCTGGTGTGGTTCGCTCCTAATTCTTTCCTATGAAACATCCATTGTCCTTATCTCTTCTCCTTTTATGTGTTTGTTACTCTCTTGTAACACCTCTGATCTTCGACGGCACTTATATGACCTTATTGTAATAATAATAATAATAATTGCATTTACATAGCGCATATATCCATGCTCAAAAGTATGCTCTATGCGCTTTACAACTATTATTACCCCAGCAGACTCTATGAGAACACTCAGAAACATTCTCGGCTTCCGCAGAAGCATACGGTGCAAGCTGCGGATTTCACGCGCTCAAACACTATCAAAATGACAAGATCGTTCACTGTCTATAGCCGGGTACCCATTTCCACCTGGGTGAAGTGAGGAAAATTTGTGCAAAGTGCCTTTCCTAAGGACACAACGTCGGTCCCCTGACGGGATTCCAACCCACGACCTTACGGTTGCGAGTCCGAGAGCCTAACCACTAGGCCACCGACACCACTTGTGTTTCAAGTGCTGTAAAACCCTTACAAAAACTAAAAACTAAAACTTCGATGCAGTTCACAAAGACTTGTTTACTTGTGTGAAGGACCGACATCACTGCAAAAGGGGCATTCCCATAAGCGCTCCGTCCCCTGAAGAAGCACATCTCAAAGTGTGTAAATGCTGACGGTTCCAAGCAATGGTTGATTCCAGGTCTTCTGCTCCTCCCACTAAGTCTTGAACTTCTGGCAAGCCCAGAGTGTGGACAGAGAAGGGGGTAAAGTGCGGAATACACCATCCAGCAGAATCATGGGGATTCTCAATAATTTTCTCCACGCCAAAATCATAAAGTGCTGACAACGTTTACGTGAAAAGCCTAACCATTGTACAACTGACAATACCACAAAATTTATCATTATTATCTCAGCACGTGCTTGTTTATTTTGTTGGTTTAAATAAAGAAAAGCACACCGACACAATTGCAATCATTTCGTGTTGGGAAACTGCAAGACAGACAGACAGAAACAACTGAGGGAAAGTAAAGAAGTAGGACAACAACCAGTGACGCCCTCCAACCATCCGTATGTGCAAGAACACAGAAAACAACAGCGGTTTTTAATGTACATAATATTGTTTTATTATAAAACAGTAATAATATTCTTCAACAAAGGCAACGCACCCATGGAGGCAACAGAACTGGAGTTTATACATGTACAAAGAAAAGAATGACACGCGCAAAAGCATCA